AAATAGATTTCATTTCCTTATTATTCGTCGTAATATTTTATCATCTTCGTGCAAAACTAATTCACGCTAATGAAATTAAAATTCTTAGAAACATCCTCTTTTTAATATTCTTTAAACAGCAGATAGGTAATGAGATGTCCTTGGAGAGAAAAACCGCGTGGGTATCGGAACGCAAATCACTTAACAGATGCTGATGTGCTCTTTTTCTCTGCTTCGAAACGCCCGACAGGAAACTGGCGATCGCGCGAGATAATAAAAAAAACTCGCGTCACTCGCGCGCGAGCAACTTGGGAGCGAAAGTGATGGGCGGCTGTGGTCTACTGTTGGAGAAAAATGTATATCGTTACAACAACGCGACTCGCACGTTTCCTCACAGGAGAAAGTCCTCCGAGGCGTCGTCGTGCACGGCACGGTGATCGATACCATCGCGCGGCTCTTAAGCGGATCGTGCAGCTCGTATTGACCGACAATTTTCGCGCGGAGGAAGGTCACCAGCTAGCAGACATGTCACAATCATTGCCGTAATCGCGACGCGATCGATTGTGCCAATCGAATTGACGTTAACTGACTTTGTTGTCCTTGTAACGTTACGTACAGTAATATGTTCCGCGTCTCGTTAATTAAAGTTTTCTATGTACAAATAAGTGAAGAAAGCAAAAATATTATTGGGCACCAAGACCTTTAATTAAGAAGCTTTGATCATATTCAATCAAAGCGAGGCTTGTTTAATAACACGTCTCAAGTTTTAAAATTTCACAAAGATCACGTGAGTTTGTGTCGAGAACTTTCTATAATTTCACCAAGGGATTTGGCGAAGTTAGATCTTGTAAGAATAGAGCATTGATTAAGATATGAATTGATTAAGATATTTTGAGAGCGTTTTTATAAAAAGCGCAATTTTATAATATTTTTTGCGCGAGCCTTGTAATTTCCAGTTTAATTTAAAATTTTCAAGGTATCGTTAAGTAGCATTGCACGTGGCATTTAGAAAATTTTTATGAACATTAATACATGAAAAGAACAATTTTGCTGATCTAAAAATTTAATTAAATATAAAAGGAAATAATTTTGTTAGATTATTAAATAAAAATAATTATGCAAGAATATCAAAACTTTTTGCAGCATTGCTTATTATACTTAAATTTTTTTACATAATTGATGTGATAGTCAAAACCATTTCCTGATCTATATATCTAGTTAAAATTTTTAATATTTCAGCAAATTCTTTCCGTTTTCTTTGCATCATCGAAAAATTGAAATCTAAGATTATTCTTTTATATTTTTATATTTTCTGGCTGTTGATTCGTACGATTATTTAGATTACAATAATACAAAAATAGATTTCAATTTTGATGGCACACAGAAAGAATTTTCTGAACTATATAAAAATTTCATTAAATACAAATCCGAAAATAATTTTGTTGAATCAAAATAATTAATTAGAAAACTTAAGCATGTCGAACAATGCTGAAAAGTTTGAAATTATAGCAATCAGTTTGAGTCTTACATTGTCTTAAATTCATAATGTTAAATTATACCCGATTTGAATTATTTTTAATTATTTCTATAGATTACTACTGAATATATCATCATATATCCTACTCAATATATCATCAATTTAACTAAAACAATGAAACAATTTAAGAGAGAAAATGTATTAAATATGACTTAAATTTACATTATTATTTACTAAGAGTATATACGTTAGTGTGATTTATTTTGAAGTTAATCACAATTTTTGATTGATTTAGATATTAGATACAATATTTCAGTAAAATCATTCTTTCCGTGTATAAACCATACATAAAAAGGTGCATCTGTACAGAATGGATCACTTGTACCTGTTACTTTTACTGTCCGTGGTATCCTAGCGAAGGACATAGGCAGATATTCAGTCGATTTTTATATTTAAAAAATCTTAATTTTCATCATCAAAAAAATTTATTTTGATGATAAAAGTTAAGGTTTTCGAAAGAATTTTTGAAAAATAACTTTCTAAAATCTTTGGAGTGAAATCTAATTCTAAAGGTGACCCTTATACGGTCAATAATGCTGTCAGTATTAATAGTACTGATAATATTACTAATCGTGTGTATGGTTAATATTGATGGATTAATGTAGAATACTAATGGTGATCTGGATTTTGATTCTCAAGCAAATATCGCTTTATTAGGATTCATGTCACGGTATGTCGCAGTGTAATAAATACGTAAAACTAAAATGACGTAAAACTAAAATGAAATATATTCTCAATAATACTGATTGTGTAAAATTGTAAAAATATTAATACTGTCAGTATTGTTGATTCAATATCACTGATTAGTATTATCGATTCTACGATAGAGTCTTCTTAAAAAAAATCTCATTCTTAAAAATTGACAATTTAGTCACTCTTTTTCAACACTGGCTCAATTATCACTCTTTGTTATTTTTTAGAATTAAATTCCACTCCAAAGCTTTTAAAGAGGACATCAGCTGGTGATTGCAGATGATTTAGCTGATGCACCAGTGAATTTGCACCAGTGTGATATTTGAGAGTTAAGATTACTTAAGATAGTCTTGGAATAACGGACTATAAGCGGTATTCATAATCTCCTTATTTTAAGACTATTCATTCCAAAACATGATCTTGCAGTTATATCGAAAATTATCTAAGTATGAAAAATAGCTAAAATAGATAAATTTCAATAAAAAATAGCTATAATTCTAGCTGGAGTAGGAAAACATTTTTTACGTGTTGTAAGTAATGTTTTAAGATGCTAATACAATTCTCTGATTGGTAACATTTTAAGACCGTACTTACGACAGTCTAAAATATAAGAATCGACTATGAATACCAGCCATAGTCGTCGTGCCGATCACCGTCATCCACGAGCTCATCGCGCGCGCGGCCGATGAGGCCGATCCCTGACCGCGGCAGCGTCGATCGATATATCGGGAATGGCAGCCACGGCAGGGCCGCGCGTCACGCTAAATGTATGCTCGGCAACATACGCGGGGCCCTGCTTGGCATACACCTTGGCAATTCGATTACCAGTCCTATCGTCCCTCGTAATCGAGACCTCGTTACCGATGTAAACGGCGACGTGCATCGCGAACCAACGTAGCCGACGCGAACCGTCGAGTTACACGGAACGTCGCGAGCGCCGCATCGCACGCGCCAATGGAAGTAGTCGAATCAACGACTGGTCAGACGTAGCGTCTACTCACGGTTGACACGTTTCATTTCGATCATCGGCTACATCGTGGCGACTTTCTTATAGTCAGACCCAGGAAAACTTTTCCCTATAACGTTGTATAACGCCAATATCTAACATATTTTTACCGTCACGTTTAAAGAAAGTAAATCTTTAGAATGAAAAAAAATAGCAATGCAAGTGTCACGTCATATTTTTTTTTTTTAGAATAATAATACAAATAGAAATATAGGCTCTAACGAGTGGATCTTATATAGAATTTAAAAGTAAATTGCCATTTTTTTTAGAAATAATAATAATAGTAGTAGTTTTAAATAGCACTTTCTTTCACTAAAATGTAAATTTATTATTTTTCAACATTTTATCAAAGGTTAAAGTACTAAGACCAAAATGTCACTTTGATATAAGTAATGCTAAGCCAAAAAAATCACTAATCTGGTTATTTAATTCAAACTGTCAGTGGAGCTCTGATTTAATGTCTGGAAATTCTATTCTTGATTACTTCTGTTCTCCAATCAGAAATCATTAATAGAGTCTGTATTCTTATTGATATCAAATGCCAAACTCGTGGATTTGTACTATTTTAAATGTATCAGTTGTGCTTTTATGGATATATCATTACTCCCACGTTATGCCAGCCATTATCTTATTAATATGTATCATTATAATGTACGCCTCCAAATGCTTCTACGACTTGCTTACGTGTGTTTCATTTACGGTAGCTAAGCCCGTAGTCCTAAAGAATGTCAAACAGTTTATCATATGCATCATAGCCGACACTACATATTTGATTATCTTAGATTTTGAAGATTATCAGAACTCATAAATAACAAGTCATTATTTATGATGTAGAACAAGATAATCATCATAATAATCGAGTACAATGGAAATGGCATATATTAGATTTTTATAAAAATTACAATTTCTTCGTAGAATTCTGAAAATCGTTCGCCGGAAGTTTGTCAAAGTTTGTGCGCAACCACGTAATTCAACATAATTTGATATATATCACAGATTTCTTCATATCATTCATCTCAAGATGAACAATCGCGAGATGTGATTTAATCCTATTAGTTCAAATTTATTATACGATCATATTGTTTATTTGGGCCAATATGATTGAAAATATTCTAAAAAAATAAAATAATTTTCATTTTAAAAAGGTCTTCCATTAACAGATGAAATTAGAAAATTTTAGAGAAAAACATTTCCAATAAAATATTAGTAATAAAATGAGTTACGTTTTGACGTTCATTCTAGCAGGATGAAAAAAAAACAGCTAATCTCCAAATGACAAAATATACACATGGAAAAATAGAATAAGTCTCACAGTATCTGCAACAAATTTCTTTAATTGTTTAGAGAAATGCAATAGTCTCTCAATTAATAGTTTAACACTTAAACTTTGATAAACGGAATGCGACAGCCAAGTCACTTTGACGATTCGTGGAACGAATTACGTGGAAACGAACTGTTTAAACAGGAGTCCGATTGTGCATCTTGGAATGAGAAAATTACAGAGAAGCGAATTCTGAACTAGAATATTTATGTAATTTCATTGATCAACACCTAGTGAATTTGTTCACTTTTATACTTTCATCTAGTTTCAAGACACACAATCGACTCCCACCTCCGAAAGACGAACGAGAGAGAGAGAGAGAGAGAGAGAGAGAGAGAGAGAGAGAGAGAGATATGTCGGAAAGATGCAGAAAGATATAAGAAAAGAACGAGGTGACTTTCGTGAACAGTCTTGTTGTTACCTAGGTGGAGGCATACATAACGTACACTCGAGTTGACACTTACGGTTAAGGAGATCGAACACTCTCCAGCGTAGATAGTCACCGCTGGGAACGTAAAAGAGAAGCGCAACGTAGCGATATGGAGAGAAGAGAGGCACTGCGACGTTGAGAGCGGAGAGAGAGGGAGGGCGCGGGGGCGGGGGCGGGTTCTGGGATACCTCCGCGGGCCTTGCTCGAGATGTAAGGGTAGCACAACCGAGCACCGTGAGACGACACACTTAAGATATACACTTTCACACTGACGATGCAGAAGAAGAACGACCGACGAGAGACGTGTGGCGCTAAAATTCCGCCTCGCGCGATGTCCCTCCACCTGCGTGCATATACGCGTGCCGCCGTGTATACACGCGTGTACGGCCCCTCTCCGTTCCTTCGGTTACGTCACGAATTCCGTCTTACTTATTCCTTTTTCTTGCTTCTTTTTCTTCAACCTTCGGGCGACGATGGCGACCACGCACGACGGCTTGGTACGAGGCGTTATCTCTTTAGTTTCGAATGATTTTCCCTTCTCTTCTATCTCTCGCTTTACTTTCCTTTCTATTCTCTCTCACTGTGATAGAATCTTTCCCTCGTGTTCTTCTTCTTCTTCTTCTTTTGCTTCTTCCTTCTCCTCCTATTTCTCCTTCTCTTTTACCTCCTTCTCCTTCTCCTCTATTCTTCACCGCAGCGGCAAGGACCCGCCCCGTGTCACGCTACACGAACGTGTAGTGGATGAAGAGAGCGTAAAACTTGCTCTGCGACAACATTATCCGGCCGGTTATCGGTACTTCGGTTGCCTCGTCATTTCGTCTCGCGTTCGTTCTACTACAGTCTAAGCCGCCCGCGCGCCGCAACAAAAATTGATCGCGTTGCGCGCGACGGTCCCTTCCTCGGGGGACAGGCCCGTCGACGCGGTCGACGCGTTCGTGTCCGGCCGCCGCGCGCCGCGTCGCCCGTGTTGACGCGGGGCTATTCTCCTTAACACCCCAGGTTCCGTTCACGTAAGCGTCCGCTACCACTTCTCTCGGCAGTCTCGGCGCCGTTCTCCCGCGCTTTGGCTGCGCCACCCTTGGCTGCCTTCTAAGCCGCCGCGCCGCGCCGCGTCGCGCGATCAGTCTTTCTTTTCTCCACTCTCTTTGTTCCTTCCTCGGGAACTCTCACAGCTCTCTCACTGTCGCACGATCATGCACATACACACATACACACACACACACACACACACATGCATGCACGCACGCACCCACACACTCCACGCGTGCGCGCGCGCGCACGCGCGTGCATACGCTCACGGACACGCGGCACCACAGGCACACGCACGCGCGCGCGCTACCACACACACGCGAAATCGGACGCGGACGACAGCGCGAACTCAGCCGCACGCGCGCGCACACGGGAACGATCGTTCTCTTTATCCCTCTCTCTGTCCCTCTCACTTCACAACCCTCCCTTAGCGGTCGCGTTCCTTCTCCTTTGAAGCTATGTCCTCTTTCGTTCTACCTCCTCCTCCTCCTTCTCCCCCTCCTCCTTCTCCTCCTCCCCCTCCTCCTCCTCCTCCACCTACCACTGTTCACTCTCACCCACTCTTTCCTCCCCTTCTATTTTTCTCCGTCTCTCTCTTTCGACCCTCTTTCGTCCTCTCCCTCGCACCTCAGTCGCCGTTGGCGCTGTTCTGCACCCCTTCGGCGTAGCCCGACATTCGACGTCGTCTTCAAGTCTCTCACCCTCGGAGTAACGCGGCCGGCACGAAGGATCGCTTGCTGGTTACGCCAAGCCCGAGGCTTTCGCTCTCACGCGAGTTCCTCACTCTCTCGACGAGTCCACCTTCGAATTCTCTCGCTGGTACTTCGTACCTTCCAGATTCCTCTACGCTATGCGTACTTCGTGCCGCGAAAGCGACTCTCCTCGGTGCCGACTGTCACGATCAGTCGAGCCGACGCGGACCGTTACTGCATCGCCACGCGCCAGTCTTTCGCGCAGCGGACTCCGCGGAAACTAATCACCCCGCTCCACGCCCGCTACACCTCATTCGCGATCCGCTACGCGAACTAACCCCCGCCACCTTCGTCGACCACTCTGCGCTCTGTAAAGCCGCGTCGCGATTCTGAGTCCGCGCCGAGATCAACGTCGCGACGATCCCTCGAGGACAATTCGGACTGGCTGGCGGGAACCGAGACGACGTTGCGATCATCACTGATCACCACCACCGTGAACGAAATTGTCACCGGGGGAGGGGGGAGGGTAGCGATTTTTTTTTCTTTCTTTCTTTTTCCTTTCCTTTCGAGAATGCAAGCCTTCCCCGTGGCGTAGCGATGAGACCACCGAGATACCACCAAGACGGGGCGAGATCAATGCTCCGTTCAGGGCTCATAAGTGCTTGCGTGGTGCGCTTCCGTAGCACAGGGTGGATCAATGAAAACGTATCCCTCCATCTCGATGGCCCCGCGCCACCCTTTGCCGCTCCGCGACTCCGCGACGGAGGGAAACGCGGTACATACCGCGCCACTTTTACTACCATCGCCTGAAAACATTCACTCGCACCCTCTACGACCATACCTGCGAGCTTCAGTAAGCTCGTCCGCGAGGTTTACCATTGCGTTGCGGATTACACCGCGTTACACCGTGCACGTCTTCATTAACTCGATGCTCGGATTCTCATTTGTATGTGATTTGTTTCATTCCCAGTGTAAACCACTTCTC